CCCCCTCCTGTGGGCAGGGACACCTTCCACTAGAGCAGGTTGCTCCAAGTCCCATCCAACCTGGCCTTGAACACTTCACTGAATATGTAAGGGATACCCACCTTAGCAACAATCCAAGTTCATGTTAGCATTCCTTTTCTTTTGGAGACAGAACTGACAACAGCCTTGTGTGGATTGGACTGTTTATTTGTCCTCTGGTTCCTTGGCTGGCTGTTTCACCTGAAAGAAAACACCTTTCATTCTCCCAGGCTGTGGCAGCTCAGCAGATGAGGCCTGTGTTCCAGTCTTCTTTCATTGGCCATTAACACCACGTGTCACGTAAAGGTTTGTATTCCGGGTGAATCCTTACTAGTGTGATGTTTTCATCATTGCTCACAGCAGGGGGATCAAGCGGAAGAATGAGCTGCAGATAACTGAGGAGAAAAAGGCTCTGGGAGTTTATTACTTTGGGGTTTTTTTCATAGCAAGAACAAGAAAGAAAAGGCAACACCTCTTGGCAAATAGTTACATTAAGTGCAGTTTGCAAGAACTGTGTATGAAAAGAAGTTGAAAGGCTTTTGATTATTCATGTAGAAAGGAGATGAAGAAGAGGTAACTTGGTAAAAGAGAATTAAAAAGGATGTGGTAGAAGAAGGTATCTTGGGAATGTCTGTTCTGCAGCTTCTAATGACATAACTTGGGACTATTCCTGTTCATAAAAGGTAGAAAATGAATATTAAAAATACTGTCATTTTTATTCTATATAAGATTGACTGTGGAGCTCACTCCAGTAAAAATGTTTGACTTAACATGCAAATAAAAATCAGTCAGTGGCACAGGCATAACGAATAGCATTAACAGTAACAACTACATATAGAAAGCTAATAAAAAATTGGGCTTAAGTTTCTCAGTAATTATTCAAAGCAGCAAGGTGGGGAGTAAACTGCTTATCAGAGAGTTCTTATATGCGACTCAGAAGCATTTCACATCAGGCAGCCCTCTGGACCACGGTGATGGTCCGAGGTCACCGTTTATATTACAGCCGCTGCGCAGACAGCATCACATCGATGGATTTCACATTAGCCTCCCTGGTAATTTTGTTTCCCAGTGACTATGACTTGATTCTGTTCAAGAGTTATTCTTTTGAAGTGTTGTTTTTTTTTTCTTTTCTCTAAAGAAATAAAATACTCTGAAGTTAATCAGGGACCTCGTGTGCTTTTTTACATGTCACAAGGTCATGTATGTGGGGCTGATGACAGGGTTGCAAATGGAGACAAAGTGGTCGGAGGCTGCACTAATCCCTGGCATGAGGGATATGGAGGAGCAGCAAATAAAGCAGGGCCTATGTTAAGTGGGTGGGCAAATGCTTTTGAAAAAAATCCTCTAAATAGGCTAATTCCTCTTTTCCCTTCATGGATGTGGCTAACATTGCTTTGTGTTCACCCTGGAGCTGCTCCTGGGCACTTTGCCTTCCTGGGAGGCACAGGACCAGACACCCTGTCCATGTACCTGTGAAAACATTCCTTGGGTTCAGCTGAACAAACTGAAACACCCCACACTGCCCTCAGCCTTTGTTACTGCTTGCTCACCCTAAGTCCTACGTGTAGCTGCTGCTAAAGGAAAGTTTGAGGAAGTCTGCCTGCCACTGGAAGACTTTCATTATTTCCTTAAAAACTCATACCAGAGATAGGTTTATATTTTGCTTATTTGCTTTCTTCCTAAATATTCCCACCATTGACACGCACTCACCATAAGCCCAGTATTCCTTAGGTTGAGCTCAGATGCCACAATGATGGGCACAAATAAAGATACCACATGAAACACCACAAAACCTTTCAGCAGCAAATAGCTTCCAGGAAGGTGGTTTGTGTTCATTGCTCCCATAGAATGGAATTCAGCAGTTCAGTGAAAACAAGCAAGCAGCGTCTCTGGACAGCACATGGCTTTAGAACAGCTTTGGGGCAGTCGGCAAAAAGAGGAAACAAGGAAAAAAAATGAAATGAGACTATTATTTGTAAGCAGTTTGTTGATTCGGGATCACTGGGTGTACCAAAGTGTGTATGCGTGATGTTTAACTTGTCCCATGCAACGACCCAGCTACAGGTGCTATTTCCTTCCTCCTTTTGTAGAAATTAGATGAACATCTCTTAGTTTGTTCTCCTTTAGTAGAAAGGAGGGGAGACAGGCACCCAAGAACCCCCTGCATTTGAGATGCTGCAAGTTCCAAAGGAAACTCCCTCCCTGTTGGGGTCCAAGGTTTTGACCCGAGTCACAAGCAGAAAAAGACCAAGTCTGTGATAACGCTGCGTGGTACTGCAGAGCCTCCAGTTTTTCCTCTGCCCCCAGCCCAGAAGCAGCCTCGGGTATCAGAGGTGGGAGAGGTGGAATTTGAAAGAGACAGGGGGGAAAAATAATTAATAATGACGTCCTGAAGTATTTCTTTTGCTTGAGTGCTCAGACAAGGCCCCTTCACACCTCAGGGCACATCCTTATTTGGATATATTCATAAATAATAATAGTAATAAGAATAAAACCATCCAGCTCTTCACATGTTTACTGAGAGCTGCAAAGCTGTAAAATAAGGATTTTGGCTTTAGTGTAGGCAATTTAGCTTGATGCTGGCTTAAATTGCCTTAGATGAGAAGTAAAGGGCTGGCACTGACCATGGCTCCAGCCCCGGGACTGCGTGTCAGACCAGCAACCAGGGGAAAAGGGCCTCATGGTGCCTGCATGAGGGAGCAGGAGCCCCCACACACTGTTTCTGTTTGCAAAAATAGAAGAGCAAAGAAATCCTCTTTTCAGCTGAAGACACCTGAGGCAGCTCTAGCAGGACGCATTCATGCTGGTGTTCCCTATGGCTCATGGTGCAGCAGCGGGTTTGAGACACAAAGTGGCCCTATCTCAACAGGAGGGACAGGGCAACATCAGAACACAGGACAGCCCCACACAGGGCAGGGGAGCCGGGGAAGGTCTGAGGGTCGGTGAGTGCCTCTATGGCAAAGTCAGCTCAGGCCAGGGCTCCTCTCTTTGCCCAGGGGTGCGGGTGCTGCTGTGCAGCCCATGCAGGCAAGGCAGAAACCCAGAACTGTCCCCCAGGGTCTCCCTGGCAGATCTGTTTTGCCCCTCTCAGCTCTGTTCTTTTTACCACTGCTTCCCTTCCCCTTCCCTTGAAGTTTTTCAGTCTTGACCAAAGCTTCAGTGTCACCTCTTCAAATGTCACCTTCCACCCCCTCCTTCACCCTGCTCACCCTTCCCCAGATCATTTCTACACACTTTAAAAACAAACAACAAGTCACCATCGTCACCACATCTTTCCCTCTTAATCCAGAGCCGTGCATCCTCCGCGGCTAGGACAGGCTCATGGCAAAGATCAGCAGAGGCTGCACTGGGATTCCAGGGAGATGCCCGGAGAGTCATGGACTGAGACCTCCCTGTGGCCCTGGAAGAACGGAGGCCTCAGAGGGGGGCTTCCAAAAAACAGGGATACTGCCCCACACCGGCTTCCCAGCAAAGGACTCTCAGGACTGGGCTGCCAAATGGGATGGAAGCAAGAGCTGTTTAGGTATTAATATCCGTATTTATGCACACAAACATATATATATTTGTATGTGTATTTATATATGCTTATATAGGGATATATAGATAGGCACACATGTATGTGCATCCATAAGCCAGGCCCGGCACCTGCTGCAAGCAGGAGAAGGGGTGCGGAAGTGAGGGACCCACACACCAGGATGAAGGTGACATTGGGATAGGCTGGGCACCCAGCTTGTCTCCCCATGCAGGACAATGCCATCACGACCACAAGGACAGCCATGGGTAGGGGACTGGGCCCACAGGGTAAGGAGCTCTGCGAGAGATGGGCTGGAGCTGGGAAGGGGACTGGGAATGCCCCAAACTGCCCCAGAAGGAAAAGGGAAAAGATCCCGCTCCATGAAAGGGACCTTACAACCCCCTTTTTCAGAATTAGAAATAAAATATAAAAATTAAATAAAAACTGTGAACCTACGGAGGGATTGGGTTGTGGGGGGGAGTTCAGCAGCGCGTACATTCGATTAAAGTAACGTGGGTGCTATGAATATAAGACGAAAATACACCTAATTCCGTCATCATATAGATATAATATATTTCACTCTCACCACATAAATACAAAACATCCAAATATCCAAAACATTCAGAACAAAAGTTAGTAGCAAGGGCTCAGCGCTCGATTCATCCATTATTTGTTTCTTTTCCCGACTAGTTGCCTAGAAACTTCCGACGTAAATAATTTACAATAAAATTACTATTTTCTTTCTGTCCATCTCCTTCTGCCCACTTCTAGAATTAATTCTCTATTCTACAGCAACCATTCCACTTGTTGTCAATTTTTTTTCTCTTTTTTCTTTTCTTTTTTTTTTTTTTTTTTTTGGTTACAGTTTGGTGGCACGGATTTATACAGTTTGTAAACGTTAAACTTGAAAGAAAGAAAAGAAACTTCAAACCAAAGTCAAGAATATTAATCGCTTGTTTCCAAAGAACTCGCTAAAAGTACAGCATCCCTTTTCCGGCAAATCATTCAAGTACCGAGATTGAACAGGAATATTCGATCCGGAATACTAGAAGGTGAATACATGTTTGTGGAGAAAATAGCAGTAGGAATTACGAAGGCAAAAAAAAAGGAGGAGCTTGTTACATAGATGTATTTTAAAGTACAAAAATAACATTAAAAGATACGCTTTTTATATTTGACGTTCGTTTTAAATGAAGTGTGAGCGATATACGCGAGGGTTGGTTTAGGAGGAAGGAAGCCTGAAGATTGGTTTTGTTTCAGTTTGATGCGCGTTGAAATTTTTTGGGGAAAAAAAAAAAAAAACGAATAGAAGAAAAAAAATTAACAGAAAAAATACTATCGCAACAGATCTGGATGCAAATCGAGTCGCGATTTATCCATCCTTTATCTGCAGATTTGTTTTTGCAGATAAAGACCTCGGGGCTGGCCCGTGAGAATGCGGGGGGGGGGGGGGAATGGGGGGAAAAAATAAAGGAAAATAAAGGGGAAAAAGGGGGCTTTGTGTTATCTCGAAGGGGGAGACAGTTTGATCCAAAATCTCTGCAGCCACTGTTTTCTGTCTCCCCGCTCCGTGCGTGTATTTGCAAGGCAGCCCGCTCCGGCCCTTCCCACGTTCGGGATTCAAGGTGGAAAAGGGAAGCTGCTGGCCATTTACCCGGCCGGTGTTCCGGGCGAGCGGCACGGAGCTTTCCCGGGGACTGCAGTGCAGTGGATGTGCCGGAACGGGGGGCACGGGTGAAGCCCCCAACCCCTTGTGCTTCGGAGTCACTGAGGGGGGAAAAAAACCAAACCCGGGCATCACCTGGCAGCTCCGTCTTCCTCTCTCCGAAATCCCTTTCTCTCGCTTGGCACTGGATACAGCGGGCCCGAAAGAGCCAAACCGCACCCCGTCCGCTCTCCCTCCTCTTCCCTTTCCTACCGGTGGCAAAGCAAACGAACAGACACCCCCCTCCCTCCCCGAAAGGACACACGGACGCCGGGCCGGCTGGGCAGGGGAGCGGCGGGGGCTGCCCCGTTCCCGCAGCTCCCGGTCGCTGCCTCGCCTCTCCCCGCGGGCACCGGGACCCTGCTCCTCTCCGCACCGGCCCGCGGAGGGAACCGCGCCGCGGGGCTTGGAGGCGGCGAGGGAGGGAAGAAGGGATGGATGGAGGGGCCCGCCGCGCCGCCCGCCCCATAAATATCGCCACAAATAGAGATTATAAATATAAATACGGGGAAGTTACTTAGAGTCAGTCCAGTGCTTTTTTCTCAGCGCTTTCTTTATTGTTGGTCCGGGAGTAGGGCTCGAAGGCCGACGAGCTCAGGTAGCGGGCCGACAGTTCCTGCAAGTTGCCCGCCAGCGAGCCGGCCACGGCCAAGGGCGCGGAGGAGAGCCGCCCGGCCACCGAGCCCAGCAGCGCGGGCACCGGCAGCCCGAAGAGCCCGTGCCCGGCGGCGGCCGCCCCGTGCAGCGCTGCCGGCGGAGGGGGCCCGGCAGCGGTGCTGGCGGCCGGTGGATGCGGGGAACCGCCGCCGCCGGGACCCGCCGCCGCGCTGCCGCTGCCCGCAGCCAGGCCGGGCCCGCGTAGCGCCGAGCCCAGCGCTCCGGTAGCGCAGGGAGGCAGGAGGCCCGGCAGCCCCGGCGGGGAGAGCAGCCGGCCTTGCTCAAGCAGCCGCAGGACGCTGCAGGTAGCGGCTGTCTCGGACACCACCGACCGCAGCTCGGAGTCCTTGCCCTGGTCCTTTTTCTGCTTGGTGCGCCGGTTCTGGAACCAGACCTTGACCTGCAGGCCGGGGAGAGAGCGGGGTCAGCGGGGCGGGCTGCGACCGGCGCCCCCCGACCGGTGCCCGGGCCCCGCGGGGCGGAGCGGGAGGGTTGCGGAGGGGGGGGGCTCCAGCCCGCACCTGCTAACGGGAGCGCTTTAGGAACGCACAGAGCGACCCTTTCCCACCCGCCGAGCCCAGGGTTCCCCGTTTTGGGGTTCGCCCAGGGGGAACGGGGCAAACACTCCTTATCGCACTGCATCTGTAGCCTGATCCGTCTCACTTTATCCGATTTCACCGTACGCCAGCCCTTTCCCCAACGGTTTATTCCGAGCCAGCTCAGCCCCAAGAACTCAGGAACTCAGGACCCGCTCTGCGTTCCCACACTGCAGCCTGCCCAGGCCCAGCTGCCTTTCCTGCCTGGGACAACAACTCCATGCTCCCTTTCCAACCTCCTGGCCTGGATATTCTCTCCCCGTTCATTTTAGACAATACTGAACTTCAAACTGAGATCCTGGCAACCTCTCCCGGGAATAATAACAATAATGATAACAACACCCAAACCCCCAAACACCCGTGGTGGTTTCTGTAACCTACGAGCTACTGAACTTGTCATTCCTATCCGGCAAGGGAAAGAAAAAAGGTAATTATCTTGTCAGGAGGGGGTTGTTATTGCACGATGTTTTGAAAAAATATGAAACAGCCTTTCAAAAGTTTGAGCTTTTTTTTAGACGCTTCCCCGCACTCTCGCACAGTTCTAACCCTCCTGACGGCCCACGGCCTCTCTGCTTTGCTGGACGGAGGGGCCGGAACTACAGGCACCCAAAATACGCCCCAAACTTCAGGCCCGTCCCCGCAACTCCCGTACCCAAGGGCAGAGCGCTCGGATCAACCTCCTCTAACCGGCAACCCCCGGGACGGTGCCAGCTTCCCCCCGATATTCCGCTTGCTGCTGGCCGGGAGCGCCTTGGCCGCTCCTCGCCTCTCCGCAGCCGCAGCAGTGCAACTCCGCCCCGGGGGCAGCCCGCACCGGCACCTCGGAGCCGGGAGCACCGAGCCCCGACGGGGCCCGGGTGGGTCCCCGCGGTGGGAGCCGCGCTCCGGCCTGGGGAAGGGTTTGACTTCATAGTCAAGCTCCCTCGGCCCCGCGCAGACCCACGGGGGCCATGTGCGGGGACGCGCAGTGCGGCGGACCCCCCCCCCTTGGCCACAGCCGTTCCCGAGCCGCACACAGCTACAGGTCCCTCACCCACGCACCCCTATCTCCATCCCTTCTCCAGACCCGACACGCGTGGGGCTCCCTCGGCCTGCGCTGTGGCGCGCAAGAGGCGCGCAAACGACGCGCAGGGCCGCAGCGCTGGCCCACACGTGGGGCCTGGCGCAGGGGAGGTGCCCGGGCCGGGATGGGAGCTTCCACGGAGGGACACGGGACAGGGCAGCCGGGGGTCCCCGTCCTTCTGGGACTACCTGAGTCTCGGAGAGATTGAGCTGGCGGGCGAGCTCGGTGCGCTCCCGCCCCACGACGTACTGGCAGCGCTGGAACTCCATCTCCAGGCGGTAGAGCTGCTCGGCCGTGAAGGAGGTGCGGGTCCGCTTGGGACGGTCCAGATCAAGCCCTTTGGGCAGAATAATCTCTCTGATTGAACCTTTGGCATCTGGCAAAGAAAGGCACAGTCACTTTTACAGCCAGGCAACCTTCTTCTCTGATTTCCTCCCCCCATTTTATCATTCCTTTTACTATTTCCGAATGAAAGAGACGTCTCCAACGCCTTCAAGACCAAGCCCCGAGTCGGGATGGAGACTGCGGCACTGCACCTACCCACTGCACCCAAGGAAGGGGATAAAAATCCCCAAACACCCAACAGAGAAGGAAGGAGGGGGCGATGGGGGCCCAAAGCTCTGGAAATAATCCCCTCAGCCCAGTTAAAAATCGTTTTGATTTTGAATATATCACACTGACACTACAACACTGCGGCATCACCCACGTTCTCTCCGGAAAGCTGGGGAAGGATTCTCCAGGCCGGGCTTTGTGCCTGGAGCTCAGGGTTACTCTTTGTTCCCCCTGAGCTCCAGGTTAGGGCTCGCTGGAAGCCACCCCCTACTCCCCTAAAATAGAAAACCTCTCTATTATCAATGTATTTAATTTTGTTAAAGTTTTCCATGGAAAATCAGGCAGGCAGGAGCTTTCTGGGCACAGGCAGCGCTGGCTGAGTGCCCACCCTGGATGTGGGGACACCCCAGCCCACCCCGCATCCCGAGCAAGCAAGCTCCGGGTTTTTGGCAAACAGAAGAAGAAGGAGGGGAGGAAAAAGGTGAAAAAGCTAACCCACGGCACCAACCAGCCCGCAGAAACCTCACTCCTCTGGTAGCCCGGATCGAAAGAAAGCGGGACAAATCTTGTTAACACCACTGTCAAGCCAGAGCCAGATTCATGTTACATTAAAGCCTTCCCAACTTTGCTTTCCGTAATTTTACCTCCTCGGTACGTTTTAAATCAGAGACAATCACATCATTTTAATCTGACCCCCTCTCTGGGTCAATCGGTCGCGCAAGGATTAATTATTGTTTACAAGGCCTTGCTTCGCACTTATTTTGGTCCGATTCTGTTCACTCCCTCCTCCCCAAAATTCTCCTTAATAAACCCGAAATTTCTGCAGGTAAATTTTAAACTATGATTATTATTTTTTCGGAGGGGGGAGGAATAGGATGATTTAATTACTTCAGCCAGGAGAGAAGACGAGGGTTGGGAGAAATTAAACGTATATAATAAATGATAAGGATTAAGAAGCCCTTCGTGGTGCCTCCGTTCGTTTTAAGGGTGATGGCTATTCCAAACCAGCCCTTTCTGCAGGCGACCCTGCTGCCCGCTTCCACACCGGGCGGGAACCGCGGCCCCGCGCCATTGTACGCGGCAGGCGAGATGCGCGGTCGCGGAAGGAGCGCGCCCGGCCCCGGGGCAAAGCCAGCGCCAGAGCCCCGACCCCGGCAGGCTCCCTGCGGGGACGGGCACCCAGGGAGAGGTGCAACGAGGGGAATAAAACCCGTTAAAACCCGACGGGACCGGGCGGAGCGGGGGGGAACCACCGCGGCCGAAGTTCTCCCGCAGCCACGGAGGCGATTCGCCGCAGCACACGGGGCTGGAGCGCGGTGCAGGGCCGCAGGAAGAGCTTCCAAGCCGGGGGGGGACCCAAGGCAAAACGACGAAATAAGAACAGCTCACAGCTCACCCCCACCCGCAGCGAAATCCCTCAAACTCATACCTCTAACTAGGATCCTCCTGCAATAGTCCGGGTCAGCCGAACTAGATTTACTTTTATTACAACCTTCCGTAGCTGCAGAGGCAGAAAAAGTCCCTTGCTGATCCTTCAAAAAAGAAGTAGAAATATTTCCTTCAGCCCCTTTGCTTTCCTTGCCCTCTTTATGTCCGTTCTTCGAGACCCGGTTAGCTTCAGTCTCTGAACTGCATCTAACGTCCATTTTGTCTTGTTTCCCAAACATGTAGTGCAATAAAAACAAAACAGAAAAAAAATACCACCAACAACAAAAAAATAGAAGAGTAGAAGAAGAAGAAGAAGGCGAAGTCTATGTTGGATATTGCACGGCTTAGGGTCAGATCGGTGGGGATCTGTAAAAGCACCTTGAATAAGGAAGATCGGGTTTTATCCCACTGGAAAAGCAGCGGCTTCCTCAGTCCCAGCGTCCTAATGTGACTGTCCAGCTTCCCAGAGCGCCCAGTGATCAGGTACTCAACAGTACAACTCTAAAATGATTTAATGTCTGCCTTATTACAGAGACATGTAGTTGTTAGACACACAGAGGGACGCGCACTCGCTGTTTCAATTGATTACGGGTAATTTTGCAGCCTCCACATTTAGGTTACCTCATGAATACACTAAATTGTTTGGATAATATATCAGATCGTAATGGATGGTTTGTGTGCTTGTCCCCAATCAAGTAGAGTTTAGCCAGTGAATAAACTGAAATGATTGGTCTTGCTTTCAGGAAACACACAATCAAAAGACTGAGACTTCCAGAAAAAAAAAAAAAAAAAAGGGAGAAAAAAAAAAAAAAGGGAGAAAAAAAAAAAAGGGGGGGGGGGGGAGGGAAAAAAAAAAAACTTTTGACAAGATTCACCCTGAATTGTTAGCACCATTAGCAGCCATTATTAACTTTCTTCAGTATGCCTTTGACCTCCCGATTATAGAGTGGCTTTCTCCAAAGCACGCCAAATAAATCTGAATAAAGCTGCTGGGAAGGGCTGGAAAAATGCAGTTGCAGGGGGGTGGAAAAAGCAAAAACCCACCAACAAAACCACAGCCAAAAAAAAACAGAAAAAAGAAAAGAGCCCCCTGAATTCTAAACAAACAAACAGATCCCCAGCACGCACACGCATCAAAAGTTGGTCCTTCCAGCAGATCTCTCCAATGAAGCAGGTTATCTTGGCCAGCAGAAATCCTCGTTAACACATCTCCCCACAGACAGCCATCTTAAACTCCTACCTCTCCTTACTTCAGTCCCGATACTTGCTTTTTGTGCTTCTCCCTCTGTGTGTGTGTGTGTGTATGTGTGCGTGCATGTGTGTGTGCTAATTCTGCACCTTCGCAAACACTGAACCTATTCGCAGAGCCTGCTCATTGGGGAAAAAAAAAAAAAAAAAAAAAAAAAGGAAGAAAAAAAAAGAGCCAGCTTTGTGCTCAGTGGATCCAGGAGGGGGGAGAAAGGGAGAGGGGGAGAAAGAGGGAAAGAGGGAGGGAAGGAAAGGGAAGGAGGGAGGGAGAGAGAGAGATAGCCCGTGAAAAATCTCAACTGCGTTATCCACCAAAGGAGAAAAAAAAGTTTTACTCTAGCTATTTCATTGTCTCTGCTACAATATCTTTGAGAACCGCAACAGCCAGTAATCCAATAAGACCGTTGATTAGGCTACAATGATTCAATTCAAGCAAATGGCCTTGTGCAAAGAGCATGCTCCAGTCCTTCTTGTCACCTTGCAGGGCAGAAGCCCTCTTCATGCTGCTCTCCTTATTCATTCCTTTATGGGAAATGTAGAGCAAAAGGAGTGAAAGATGGCAATTATCTAATTGGACTATTAACAAACAATTCTCTGAGTGTGGCTGTCTGGCAGTGGTTCTTGGGTGAGGTGAAAGGCCACATGTTGCACTGGCCCCATTCACAAAGAGTTTAGGGGCCTGAGAGGGAGAGAAAGAATTTTCCCTGAGAATTTTTCACACAAACACCGGAGTATCCATCAGGAGCGCTCCTCTCCACCCTGCCCTCCGCCTGCCTGGGAATGCTACCCACCTGGAGCAGGCTGGGGGAGCTCCCTGGTTTACTGCGGGGGAGAGCAGCGGGTAAAGGCAGAACAGGGTGCCCTTCCCTTGGCCAGAGATGCTCAGCCCCAAGGGCCTCATCCTGCTCCCGCTGGAGGAATAACAGACCTCGTCCCGCAGGACCTAGTCTTTGTGCATGGTGTTGTAATGGAGTGAAGGATCCAGTGTTAGGGTTTCATCATAATAAGTAGGATATTTAGGGGAGGAAAGGAAAGAAGGGGAGAAGAGAGAAGAGAAAGGAAGGGAGAATGAAAGAAGGAAAGGAAAGGAAAGGAAAGGAAAGGAAAGGAGAGGAGAGGAGAGGAGAGGAGAGGAGAGGAGAGGAGAGGAGAGGAGAGGAGAGGAGAGGAGAGGAGAGGAGAGGAGAGGAGAGGAGAGGAGAGGAGAGGAAAAAGGAAAGGAAAGGAAAGGAAAGGAAAGGAAAGGAAAGGAAAGGAAAGGAAAGGAAAGGAAAGGAAAGGAAAGGAAAGGAAAGGAAAGGAAAGGAAAGGAAAGGAAAGGAAAGGAAAGGAAAGGAAAGGAAAGGAAAAATAAATGAAAAAAGAAAATAAGAAAAGAATATAGAAAACAAAATGAAAAAGAAAAGAAAGAAAGGAAAAGAAAAGAAAAGGAAAAAGAAAAAAGAAAGAAAAGAAAAGAAAAAAGAAAATAAAAGAAAAAGAAGAGAAAAGAAAAGAAAAGAAAAGAAAAGAAAAGAAAAGAAAAGAAAAGAAAAGAAAAGAAAAGAAAAGAAAAGAAAAGAAAAGAAAAGAAAAGAAAAGAAGAGGAAGTTCTTAGATGCATTTCAATGAGTTGTCTTTAGTGGACATCTTAAAACTTGGTAATTTTTCCACAAATCACAGCCTGATTTATTTTTATTACCACTGTCTGAAAAGTCAGATTGAGATCAAAGAGGTGCTCTAAGATTTTCATCAAGCCCTATAATTTCCGTGATATTCATACATGCAACTGGAAGTAAAATGTCATTATTGTGGACCAGGCTTTATTTTTCCTTACACCCAACGCATCTCAGCAATCTCTGGTGGCCTGTTGTTATTAGTTACTACTTGTATGGCAGTCATACCCAGGGGCCCCAAATAAATCACAGCCCCATTGTGCAAGGCTTCATGCAGATACAGAGAGAGGATGGAAGGAGTTCATTTCCTCCATGGATTCACAATGCTGTGCAAAGGCCTGTTGTGTGAAGGGATGCTTGTGAAAATGTACATTTAAGAGAGATTTGGTTCTTTCAGGAGAGGTGCAACAAGTGGACAGCAATTAGTGGGAATGTTTTTCATGTAGCTGAGGCATAGGATTGTGTTTAGCAGGTAAGCTTTGTGGTGTGATATACATAAATGTATACACGTATGTGTATGCATAGGCAAGGTAGTATCAACAATCCTGGCTGGATGTTTGTTTAATGCTAAATGAAACAAAGTTCTTTTTCAAACATTTTTTACGTAACAGATATGTTTTTTTTAGACAAATAAGCATAACAATTCCCATAAGAGGTCTACTGTGAAATACAGAGAGCGATTATAATTGTATTTGCATAGGTGTGTGGGAGTATGTATGACATTGGCCCTCATGTTTTTCATTTCGCTAATGTCTAGGCATAGGCCATAATAATAAACATGGAGCTATTGAACTCAATTACACTGTTTGAAGCTGAGTATCTGGAGATTAAATATTGTATTTGTGTGATAATCAGGCTTTTTTAACATTTATTTTCTTTTACTTACCACAAGGACCTGATCCAAAGCTCACTAAAGGCCAGAGGAATTTTGTTCTACATGTGTAATATCTTAATGCATTGCAACTCCCTTTTGTCTATAGAAGTCAGTGCAATAAAAAGGCTTTCCCCTATTAAATCTGTTAAATTTGCTTTCACACATTACAAACACAGTACTGTTGAAGATCTGGAAATTCAAATGATGAGTCTAATCCTGCAGCAAACTTGTAGTGAGCAGACAGGTCTACCCACACACAGGTCTACACGGAGCTCGCTTACTTTAATTGAGGTCCGCTCATCTGCAACAAATAGCAAAGTCCAGAACTGCACTGTAAATTCAGCATTTTTCCATTGTGAAGTCAACATTGCTCTAGCTTTTTCTTTTTCTCATTAGCCTAATCGTCTTTCAAGTATTCTCATTTATCTTTTTTTCTCAATAGACTTAAAATTAAACATTCTGGAATATTACATTCTTGCAGGACATATGTCCACTTCTCACTGTAACAACTCCAGGTCTCTCCATAGCTGCAGCACACTTACATCTACACTCATGTGCCACTGGATAAGCAGATGAAGGGTTACCTGTTTTCCCATAAAATAGTGCTTTAAAATGACTCAGCAGATAGCAGAGGTGCTCCCAGGATGTACTTTGCTATGTGGACTACCTTGTTGCTTTTCAAATACAGAGTATACAGCTTTATTAGTTCACATTGGCATGTAGAAGACTGAAGAAATTGTTTCTCATTGACTGTCATTATTTATATTATTTTTATCTCTATTCAATGGCTAGGAAAGATACCCATTATTGCTACCACTTGCTAAACTCTTCTTTGTCAAAGAAATAATTTCTGTCCTAAATTCTCTTTAAGGCTTGCAATGCCAAGCTGGTTATCACAGTCTGAATATGGTGCTGAATTGCTACTGAGCTTCAGTGCTTGTGCTTATAGAACCACAGAATCATAGAAGTCTTGAAGTTAAAAGAACCATCAAAAGGATTCTGTGTTTAATACATTTAATTTACTATTTGATATGTATTCCTATCCAAATAATATTCCTTATGAGTACAAGCTTTCGTCCACTTGAAGAGCTGGCTCCTGCCCTCCTTTGCTATCTCTGGTTTGCAGAGTCATCCTAACAGACTTCGGCTGTGGTTACAGGCCTCAGCTGAAGAGGAAACAGAGCCAGCCCAGCACTCACAGACAGGTAGGTTAATGGAAATATCTAACAACCTGCTCTGCTCTCTGTGGCAGGCACTCATTGCCCCAGCTGGGGCAGATGCAAGAAGAGGAGGGAAAGCTCTCCCAGCACCCTCCCAGCCCTGAGATAGAAAGGCATGACTCAGAGATATTCTCAATCAAAAGACTTATCTCTGTGTTTAATAGCCCTAAGTAGATTTTTGTTCCATTAATTTATCTAATTATTTTGATTCAGACTATTTGTTGTTGAATTTACAGAGGCATTCAGCAAGCATACTTGTTTAGCAGAGGGTGTATGAACTGGTACCTTGGGGCTGAGCATCTTCCTGGTTATTTCAAACTAACAGAGGATATGGTAGTTGCTCATAAGGATACATTACATGCAGAAATGTCAAGGAGTGGTTACGAAGAGGTCCTACCATGCATCCTTGATCACTGTTAAAGGCAAATGAAGGAGAAACAGAAAACCTCATTACTATGTGCACAGATGTTCTGGGACAGGAAGTTTCTGTCCAGTGTGACACTCTGCGAGCAAAGATGATGTTCTTCATCACCTCACCAGTAGGTTTTTCTTTCATACGGGTATCAGTGCTGTGCTAACCACCAGGAGCTCTGAGCACCTTCTTGAAACAATGTGCACAGCATAATTAACAACCCTGTTGCTCTTGCAGATATTCACTGCTAGGAAGGAAATTGCTATACAATTTAAGATGAACTCGGGAAATTTCAGCTTATACATACTACTGTGTAATGAGGGGACATTTAAACAGCATATGCTAAGCCCTTATTTGAAGATGGCAATTTGTTCTAGTGGAAATTGGTTCTGTCTCCTGCAAGTGAGCCTAGAAAATAGTCCTCTTTCCACATAGGTGAGCAGTATCCTTGAATACCAGGATCATGTCTTTACCTGGAAGCTTTACACTGTCTTTGAAGGAAAGGATCGAGGTCTGTGACTCAGTTCAGCTTTCTCTGTGATGTGGAAGATAAGGCTGTCATGTCTGTGGCAGCCTGTATGGCTAGAAACATTGCTAATTCCACTTCTCCAAGGACTGATAGCCAGGTACATTTGTGTTGTTCAGTGGCATGTGTGCCCCTGCAGCACAATATAAAACACATCACATGGGTTGTTTCATGGTAAATTAAATGTCACAGGCTCACAAGAACTCTAACAGGTAAGGCAAAACCAATTTTTCTCTGTCTTAGAGTGGGCAACACCATCCTGCATTGGTATGAAATAGGGAGGTAGCTCTGATTCCAAATAGGCTTCATCAGCTTTTATGCAGGTATTGTGTCCTTCGTGCCAGTTCCTATATATTCCTCTTTGAGCAAGCATTCTGCAAGAGAACTATTTAAAATAAATTAACATATCCAGACATCTATTTAAAATAAAGTATCAGATTGAGACAATAAATGTTATTGCTTGTAGCTGTTACATTCCCATGCTTTGCTACACGCCCAGTTAGTAGCCTGATGCAGAATACACAACTTGCTGCTTCTTAATTTTCCTGCATACTTTGCCAGTAATTGCAGTATTGTCTCGACCAGATACTAAACTGAGCGTATTGGCAGGACTCAGCAGTGC